AAAAAAAAAAACACCAAAAATAAAATCAAAATTTAATCGTAGTTAATATTTTTATTTTTACACCTAAATAAGTAAAAATCATTTTTTTTTTTTAAAAAAAAAGCAATCAAAAATAAAGCATATTTGTATCATTAGGATACATACACGTAATGTATGTCTTACCCACGTGTTATACGCATTCATCTTATGATTATTACACGTTAATTCGAGTAATACGCATAAATATCACGTAGTAATAGCAGCTAATAGCCAAATTATTTTCTCATTTAATCTATTCCCTTATTAAATATTACTAATAATGTTATAATTTTATCAATGAAAAAAATTCTCCATTATTTATTTATTTTTTCTACAATTTTTATTTCTTCCTCTTGTAAAATTTTTTTCATTGAATAATTAATTTCTAAAAATTTATTCAAACAATGAATGAAATATTTGATTATAGGTGGACTGATGGAAATTTATTTGCTAACGATAAATTGACAATTGCTGATGTAAAGCTTACCGTACCAAAATCAGACAAATGGGATGATCGTTATTGTGTTTTTTATGATTGTATGTTTTTAGGAAATTTAAAAAAAAGAAAAAGAAAAATAATTCATTCATTTTTGGCAATATAAATGTATTTTGTAAAATAAAAAAAAAAGAATTTTTCCTTTTAATATGCATGAATTGATTAATAGAATATTTAACTTATTAAGTAGAAAATAATAATTTGCATAAAATAGTTTTTTTTTTAAATATTTAAGAAGCAATGAATATATGTCAAAGTATGAAAACTCCGTGCATTAATATTACACTTAAAAAATATTATCACTAATATTAACACTAAAATATTATCACTAATATTAACATTAAAATATTATCACTAATATTAACACTAAAATATTATTACTGATATTAACACTAAAATATTATCACTAATATTAATACTAAAATATTATCACTAATATCAACACTAAAATATTATCACTAATATTAACACCAAAATATTATCACTAATACTAACACTAAAATATTATTACTGATATTAACACTAAAATATTATCACTAATATTAACACTGAAATATTATCACTGATATTAACACTAAAATATTATCACTATATTAACACTAAAATATTATAACTAGTATTAACACTAAAATATTATCACTGATATTAACACTAAAATATTATCACTAATATTATAGATCAAAAATCTGCTACCGGTATGGTAATACAACGAATGTTTAATGTAACGATATGTTCAGATCGCCGAAGGTTTATCTGTCAAATGCCTGCTTTTTCACAAGTAATTTAATAAAATATTTGCATAATTCATTAATATAATAATAGCAATAATTCTATTATTTAAATTTTTGCTAATATTTTAGGATCAATTTCCAAATGATGGTGTTATAGTAGCGGAAGAAGAAGTGAAAGTTGCAGAAAATGAAAATAATGAACTTACCGAAGAATGTTAGCCAATTTTTTTTTTTTTTTTTGCTTATTCATTGTGCAAAATTTTTCTATTTAATTTTATCATTTTATTTTTAGAAATTTAATTTTAGTTTTGCCACTTCCAATATTATCAATATTTTTCAGTGAAAACAAAAAAAACAAAAAAAAAGGAAGCATAATTAAATTAATGGATGAATAAATGAATGTTTTTTTACTAGTTCTTTCAAATTATTTAATTAGTATTTTAAGGAGTTATTAGTATTTTAAGTATTTTAAGGAGTAGTGATTTAAAAATTTTCAATTAACATTTTTAAAAATTTTCAATTAATATTTTAAATTTTCAATTAGTATTTTTTTTTCAATTGGTATTTTATTGTAATAATTAAATTACAGTTCCATGTGGTAAGGATCCGTTATTTTGTCCATTAAAAACCAATCAAGGTACCGTATGCTATCGTTTACAAACCGAACCATTCTATTGGGAGCAAGCAGTTAAAGAATGTGATGCAAAACATCAATCTGACCTTATTTCCATTCATTCAAAAGAGGAAGCAAATTTCATCTATGAAATGGTAAATATTTTCCTTTTTTTTCTAACTTTAATTCTAATAGAAAAAAAAAGAAAAAACTTTTATGCTTAAATTAAATGATAGTTGAAATGAATGAAAATTTAATTAGTTTATTATTTTTTATTTTCTTAAAAAAAATCAGACTAATTTCCAATAATTTAAGCATTAAAATTAAATAAATTTTACAGTATGATAATGCTAGATGTGATAACCATTTTGAAAAATTTGAAAGAAATGAGAGATAAATGCTACTAACTAATTGATCAATGATTTTCTAAGCAATGAACTTTTAATTAATTCACCTGAAATATTGATAAATTCAATAACTCGCTGATTTATATGTAAAAAAAAAGATCATCTAAATATTCTTCATAGATTGCATTCATTCCAGTAAATTTCAAGGTAATGGTGATATGTCTGATGGTGATAAATTCAAATCAAGTGATATATCTGATGATGATAAATTCAATTTTGTTATGTTTGATGATAACAAACTTGATTAATGATAATAAGCTTGATTTCTTTTTTTTTTAGTGATAATAAATTCGACTTTTTTTTTTTTGCTTATTTGAATGAAAATTTTTTAGGTACAATTACAACCATCGATAAGTGGTGAAAAAAAATAATTGGATTGGATTACATCGAAGGAATGCACGGAGGTATCCTTTTTTTTTTCTTCTCTCTCTCTCTCTCAATCTATCTATTGCTAATAATTAAAAAGTTGAAATTTTGACAAATAATTACCGAAATAGATTAATTATTAACTTAATGATTACACCTTTTTGCCTGTTTCTCTTTTTGATTTTTGCTTTACTGTCAAAATTACTTTTCTTTTTTGTTTGTTTCTTTTTTTTAATATTTTGATCATTAAGAGAAATAAGCATGCTTTAATTTATTTTCTGTAAAATACAAATTTTGAAATTTTAAAATTGGAATAATTAATAAGATAATTGTAAAAATTGAAGGAATAAATTTGCAGTCAATATGAATGGTCTGATGGTTCATCGCTTGATTATTTGGTTGAACGTTTATCAAATGAAGATCCGGATGAGGAACGAGGTGTTTGTGTTGCAATACAATTCAATATCAGGTTAATTTTTTGTTCTCTGAAAGAAATATTCATTTAAATTTTTTTTTTTTTTGTATACATTTTATAAAATTTCGCCATTTTTTTTGACTTTTATTTTGAAAACTGAAAAAAATAATTAACAAAAGAAAATTAATTTGCTTTGAAAAATCTTAATTTTGGGTAAAAAAAAAAAAGGAATTAAGCCTTTATTAATTTCAAAAAAGAAAATTTATATCATATTTAAAGAATTTTTTATTTTTGGAAATATTTCAGTAATAAATTACTCCAAAAACAATCATTATATAATCTTTTTGGTATTCCAATTCAAATGTCAAGAAAAGTTCCAGGTATTTTTTTTAAATTAAAACCTAAAAATTTTTAAAGAATTAAAATTTTAATAACCATAAGATTATTTTATAGCATATTTTTGGACTCATCAACGATGTGATAATCGACATTTATCAATATGTCGTAAACCAGGCTTTGATTATCATGCACGTTCTGAATTATCAGCAAAAGAAGAGAGACGATTGATAAAACAGAACAACTGGGAATGTTCTAATGGATATAAATTATTCAGTTCGTTTCTCTCTTTTTTTTCTACTCTCTCTCTCTCTCTTTCTCCCTCTTTCTCTCTCTTTCTGTTTTATTTGAATGAAATTTTATCTTGAATGGTATGAATTTTATTTCATTAAAATTATTTTTTCATTTTTTTTTTGCGTGCATATTAAACTTTTTAAATATATTTCATTTGAAAATGTATTAAATTAATAATTTAATTTATTGGCAAATTAAATTTGCGACAAATTTGAGCAATTAATATTTTTTTTTCGGATGAATTTTAATATGTAACAGTTAGCAAAAATTCATTGGATAAATAATTAAATTTTTTTTTTTTAAAAATATATTTTAATCTTTGATCCTCTTCATGTAATTAGCTATCCGTATGCATCGGTATCGTTTTTCCACTCGACTAATTTTTTTTGTCAACAATCATATATGTAATTTTAATGTTAAATCTAAATTTAAAAAAAAAAAATCAAATGAAAACGCATGATTAATATATAAAAAATTACAGCTAGTAATAGTAATTGAAATAATTGATGATATCAGAATTAGAATTTATTAGAAATCATTAATATTTGAAAAAATTCACAAATAATAGTGTAAAATATTATAAAAGAATTTTGCAATAAATGAAGCAAATCAAAGATAAAACTTGATAATGTTATCAGTTATTTGAAAATTATTAACAATTTAAAAAAAGAATTGAAATAAGATTTCATTAAAAAAAAAGATTCAATGTTTAATTTGTTGCTTTGTTCACAGGAGGAATGTGTTATAAATTATATGGAACAAATGCTAACGGTGTAACATTTAGTGAAGCTATTCAACGTTGCAAAATTGATAAAGCTAATTTGGTTAGCTTAACTGATATCTATGAAAATGGTAAGTCTGTATTATTAACTTTTTTTTCCTTTATTTTAATTTACTTCTATAACAAAAAAAAAAAAGAAGTTGGTAATAAAAATTTTTAATTTAATAATTTTTATTTACATACTAAAAAATGAATACGAAAGTACATTTCTTCTCACATCATTACTTTTACATTAGATATGGTGAATTAATTAATAATGCAAATTAATTGAATGATGAAATAATTGAGATGTGATAAATCAGTTGATATAGCCAATTAATAGATATGCTAAATTAATTAATATGGCTAGTTGATTGGTTAATAAATTAATTGATACGGTAGATTTACGGTAAGTTACAATTGATGCGTAAATTAATAACAATGATAAATTGATTGGTGTAATAAATTAATTGATACTATTAATTAATTGTTATGATAAATTAATCGGTTATTTTTGCATAAAAATTTATAACTGGAATATTTTCTATTTGATTGATTTTTTTTTTTTCTCGAAATATTTCTTCTTATATTTTCAACAATTTTTTTTTTTCAAGATAATTAGAAATTGTTGAGTTATTATTCAAGATATCAAATAATTTCTTAACAAAATAAACATTTGATATATTTCCTAATTTTTATTTGCCTAATTTATTATCTTTCTCAATTCTAATCAAAATTCAAGCTTTTGCTTACAATACTTTTGCACAGTTAAAATATTTAATATGCTGTTTTTTTTGTTTTTTTTTTTGGTATTATCAAGAGATAAAATGTTTTAAAATTTTTAATTTCTACAATTTGTTTGATTTGAATTTCATTTACGAGCTTATTTGATAGGATTTGTTACATCAATGTTGCAAAATTTAAATAGTAATGCATGGATTGGTATGGATATGACTGATGGACGAGTACGATGGTTGGATGGTGAACCATTAAAATTGATCCGTTTTGGTCCGGATAATAGGGTAATCCGGATTGGTGGTGATCGGCATATTTATCAAAATGTTGGTCAAGCTGGCTTTTCCAACGAGGTTACTACATAACATTGTTTTATATTTTTGTTTTATATTTTATATTTGCTATTTTTATTTCGATATCTATATTCTTATACTTATATTGTATTATGTTTATATTTCATATTTACACTTATTTTTATGCTCATTATTATATTTTTATATTCATTCACTTCACTTTACTATTAATTAAAATTTGGCAATGAATAAATTACTTAAGTTTAGTATTTTTTTTTACTACCTCATCGCTTGTCATTACTATCAAAATAGTTATCATTAAAATATATTATACATTATCATATTGATATTTATTATCATTAATGTTAAAATTTTAAGAATTTATCTTACACATAGACATGATTTGTTTCAATTTTTGAAATTTATTTCAAACATTTAAATCATTCGTAAATTATTTCATCCAATTTTTTAAAACTGTTTTATTCAATTTTCAAATTATTTTGTTCAATTTTTTCAAACTATTTCTTTTCAATTTCAACTATTTCATTTAATTAAAAATATTTTCAGGCTTGTGTTGCATTAGATGCTACAAATATGATCGGATATTGGGATATTATCTTCAATAAAACTAGTAAATTATATTTATTTTCAGCATAACTTAGTAATCCAAAATCTAATTCCATTTTAATAATTACCTCAAGTATGCAATAAGTTAGTTAATTGATAGCTACTTAATCATTTATTTCATTATTTTATAAATACTAAAGTAAAACTGAGTAATATTAGTTCTCTAATATTGCAAAGAAAAGAAAAGAAAAGAAAAAAAATTTTTTTTTTAATTAAATTCTAGATAATCTTCTCTATTCATAACCAATTTTAATAGATTCTAGATCAAGCGGAGCATTTAGTTTATTTGTTTCGAAATGAATTTTTAAATATTAAAGCACTGAAATATCCAAACAATTATCGTTAATTAATTTAAACGACTTGTGGGAGATGTAAAATAAACTTCAATTTGTGATTAACTAAAATTTAATTAGCTTAAATTTTAGTTAACTTAAATTTGTATTGGTGAAATATTTTTTTTTAATCTCAAATAACTTCATGAGGCGAGCAAATTAGATTGCTAATTTACATTTGTTTACTTTCACGAACATTTCTTTTTATTTACCTTAAGCGGTGATTTAATCAACTTTTCCAAAAGGTGATCAATTCCAACTTAATAAATTCTTTAATTTCAAGCTTATGATTTTGAAAATGACAATTATTACCTGTTCAGATTTTGTTTATCCTGGTGGTTCAGCAAAAACAGATAATAAATCAAGCCAATGTGATACAATAAAACTACCATATATATGTGAAACCTATGCAGGTTGTTGATTTGTTATCAGTATAATATGAAAGGAATTAGGCCTAAAGTGATTAGAATAGATCGTTAAAAAAAAACCCTAAATTGGCTTTAATTAAAAGCATTTAATTAATTATGCAGCTTATTTAGAACCATCCGATTTTATTCATGTGATTAGCAAATGATTGATAATGAAATAATTAACTCAAAAAAAGGATTGAAGTTTGAAGCTCCAACATGAAATGAGAGTAGGTGATAAAAAAGATTAATGAATAATTTAAATATTCAATAACTTAATTGTTAAAATGCAATATTCTAACCCAAGCAAAAGTGTGTAATGCTTAATTAATTAATCAATTAATTAGTTAATCAATTAGTACTTCAGATGAATCTGTTGATTCAACAAATGTAATTCAGAAGAAAAACGTGTGCCATGAAATCGATGATGTTATCTATTGCTTCCTTCTCAATGATTCTAACAGACACAGTTTGTTGTTAATTAATTAATTCTTCTGACCATTTTTTTCTTTTTTTTTTTGAGAAGAAAACCGTCAATAATCCATATCTTCTAATTAAAATTATTTAAATAATCCAAAACAATAATTAAACTTGTCGACATGCAAACTTTTTTCATTTAAAATTTACTTAACAGTTATTATTTTATGAATTTTTGAAATACTATTTTGTTGAAGGCAACAAAAGTACAAAGAATGTTAGTTTTAAAATGTTAAAAAAAAAAAATGTTAGAATATTAATTTTTAAAAATTCAAAGTTTTATTTTCATAATAATGATAACATTCAGTTATTGGTCATTATAATTTTATGGATGCATCCAAACTTTGTGCGACATTACCAACAAAATATACAAATTATGGTCGAAAATATGGACAACTTGCACAAGCTGATAATATTTTTGAATGGTTATTTTTAACGGCAATGGCATTAGAAAATGATTGTGATGATTTTTTTATGGGGATTCGTTTCCGGAAATCAATAGGGTATGATAATGAATGTTTTCTGGATATAAATGCTAAAAAAAAAAAAAAAATTATTCCTCCTTATAGTTCAACAAATCTACCGAAGTATTTCGAAAAATTGCTTCTTTTTTTTTTGCTATTTATTATGATTTAAATAACTGATATACTCCTAAATTTTAGCTAGTTTCGTTGGATTTATTAAATGGTAATTATTAATTTTTGCCCTTTTTATTATTATTATTATTATTATTATCATTATTACTATTATTATTATTTTTACGATTTATTATTATTATTATTGTTATTATTATTATTATTATTATTATTATTATTATTATTATTATTATTATTATTATTATTATTATTATTATTATTATTATTATTATTATTATTATTATTATTATTATTATTATTATTATTATTATTATTATTATTATT